TGTGCCGACCGATCCCTGTCGCTTTCAGACTGCACATAGTCACTAGTGTGCCGACCGATCCCTGTCGCTTTCAGACTGCACATAGTCACTAGTGTGCCGACCGATCCCTGTCGCTTTCAGACTGCACATAGTCACTAGTGTGCCGACCGATCCCTGTCGCTTTCAGACTGCACATAGTCACTAGTGTGCCGACCGATCCCCTGTCGCTTTCAGACTGCACATAGTCACTAGTGTGCCGACCGATCCCTGTCGCTTTCAGACTGCACATAGTCACTAGTGTGCCGACCGATCCCTGTCGCTTTCAGACTGCACATAGTCACCAGTGTGCCACTCTCACTCTCTCACTCTCTCTCTGTCTCTCTCTCACTCTCTCTCTCTCCCTCTCTCTCTCACGCTCACACTCTTTCTCTCGCTCTCTCTCTCGCTCTCTCTCACTCTCTCTCGCTCTCACCCCCTCTCTTTGTCTCTCTCTCTCGCTCTCTCTCTTTGTCTGTCTCTCTTGCTCTCTCACTCTCTATCTTTCTCTCTCTCTCACTCTCACTCTCTCTCACTCTCTCTCGCTCACTCTCTCTCACTCTCTCTCGCACTCTCTCGCGCGCGCTCTCTCTCTCACTCTCTCTCGCTCTCTCTCACTTTCCCTCGCTTTCTCTCACTCTCTCTCGCTCTCTCTCACTCTCTCTCGCTCTCTCTCACTCTCTCTCGCTCTCTCTCACTCTCTCTCGCTCTCTCCCTCTCTCTTTGTCTCTCTCGCTCTCTCTCTTTGCCTGTCTCTCTTGCTCTCTCACTCTATATCTTTGTCTCTCTCACTCTCACTCTCTCTCACTCTCTCTCTTTGTCTCTCTCTCGCTCTCTCTCACTCTCTCTTTGTCTCTCTCTCTCTCTCTCTTTTGTCTCTCTCTCGCTCTATTTCTATAATGGCTGTATCCGTTGTCATTTGGTTAACTAGTCGTCCTGGTTCACCCCTAAACCCACAGTCTCGAGTGGTGCACAGAGCCTGCAGAAACTTCCAGCTTCATAATTCCTCAGATGTGGGTGCTCAGTATCCCCCACCTCAGCCCCCATAGAGCCTGTCCAGCCAACCTATCTGTGTGCTCCTTCCCGAACACGCCTGCATGACGGAGCAAAATATCCACGAGATTCAGATCATCTGACTCCCGACCTCTTGTTTGATTCGACCCCTTCCATACAAAGGTAACCTTATTCTACCTTCCCGTGGAAGCTTTGCACATCCAGTCCTATGACATCCTCTTTAGCTGCGATTTCCCCACCCACTAGAACGGGACAGTAACCGCCTCAACCTCCATTCTTATGCTGGATGTGGACATATCGTATGCCCAGCTCTCCTCGGTCATCTTCATTTTTACTTTCTTGATTTTACTAGGAACAGGCCAATGTAGTCCAAAATACATAAGACATGTTCCACAGATTTATGACGTCACTTCCTACACAAAATTTGCTGACGTGACAGGATATCCCGGCTGATTTCATTAACATCGGAGAACAATGGAAGGGATGTAGATCAGGTAACAAATCTAGGCTGGTTGTTCACAGGTAGGCTTAATGCTTCGGCTGACATTGCAGTAACATCAACATCATCATCATCATTAGTAGCAGCAGCAGCAGTAGCTGCAGCAACAGTAATGGTAACGGTAGTAGTAGCAGCATCAGTAAAAGTAAAACTAATAATAATACAATAACAGTTGCTGCTGCTGCTGTGGCCGCTGCTGCCACTAGAACTACTGCTACTGCTACCACTACTGTCACTATTTCTACCACCACCAGAAATAAAGAGATGGGAAACCACTGAAGCTGCAGAAATTGTTTGATAAACAAATAGACATGTGTGTGTGTGTTGTCTATCAAAATATTGATGACCACTCTTTTCCATCAAGTATAAGTATGAAGATGACTGATGAGGCCGATGCTGGTCAGAAAAGTTCTTGGACAGAGAGTGAGAACAGAGAATAAGTGTTGTGCCAGGGAGGGGATCTCCTACAGTCGCCGTTCTCTCCATCCTTGTCCTAATCAGTCTTGCTGTTCTGTTTGCTTCACATGTAGCCACGCCCTTGTGTAGAGCTGCACGCCTTGCATTTCGGTCTTGAGAGGCAGCCTCCCAGTTGGTGTCATTCATCCCAAATGCTTTGAGTGAAGACTTCAGGATGTCCTTGAAGCGTTTCTTTTGCCTGCCCTGGGAACGTTTCCCATTTTGCAGCTCACTATAGAAGAGTTTGTGATCTGGTATGCGTGCCACATGAGCAGCCCAACGAATTTGATACTGCATCAGTAGAGTGTGGATGCTGGGCATGGCAGCTTTCTCAAGGACTACGGTATCAGGTACTTTGTCTTGCCATCTGATCTGCATTAGTTTTCTAAGACAGACTGTGTGAAAGTGGTTTAACTTTCTAGCCTGTCGATGGTATACAGTCCATGTTTCGCATGTAGTGTAGTTAATACAACTGCTGAGTATACTTTAAACTTTGACTGCACGGTTATGCCACTTCTGTTCCAAACATTTGTGTACAATCTGCCAAAGACAACGCTAGCTGCTGCCGTGGTTGACATAGCAATGTATTGATTGGCACTCATAGAAAAACAATTTAAAAATACATATCAAACAACATAAAAAAAAAAATTGCAAGCTATAGTTGACATGCCAGGACTCGAACCTGTCACCTCCAGATGTTTCACGGCAGGAACAAGTGTAGTAAGATGCATGAGCAACCAGACAGACAACCAGGCTGTGTATGTCTGTTATAAATGCTACTGCACCACCAAGGCCTTTCTTGCTTGTGGGCAAACAAAAAGGCAGGTGCTCAAAGTGTCTTCTTTGACTTCTTGTGATCGCTTTCTGATGATACAGGATAAGTCTTTAGGAGTTCCCTTTTAGCTCCATGCAACTTTGAGTACAGAGCTGACACAGTGGATCGATATTGCGTTCTTAACGGGCACAATGGTGAACTACTTTGACGAAGCCTGTGCATGTGCTTGTTAAGTTTGTTATGTCCTGTCCTGATGAGTAAGTAGCTTAATGACCTGTCCCTGCTGGTCAAGTAAGTGGTGGTCATCTCCGCCTGATTCTGTTCACTTCTGAGAAACTGGATGGCTTTTTTCTTCTCAAGGTATGTTACTGACTCCAAGTGTATACAAAAAGTGCCTTAACTCGACACAAAGTGTTTATTTCAGTAGCACTGGAAACAAGATAAACAAAACACACACACACACACACACACACATACACACACACACACACACACCACACACAGGTGCCGGCTCTGGGCAACGTCAGAAAAAAAAATACCTGATTACTACCACTAAATATGAGTATCTTCTGCATGGTCAATCTGACACTGTATCAGTTGTCCAAAATTGTTCCATATCTTGAGTGGTCGCCCCTTGACTAGGTGCTCAGGTTCATTCAGCGTGGCTCTCTGTGGCCGTTCGTAGCATGTGATTGTCTCGCTCAGGTTCATTCAGCGTGGCTCTCTGTGACCGTTTGTAGCATGTGATTGTCTCGCTCAGGTTCATTCAGCGTGGCTCTCTGTGGCCGTTTGTAGCATGTGATTGTCTCGCTCAGGTTCATTCAGCGTGGCTCTCTGTGACCGTTTGTAGCATGTGATTGTCTCGCTCAGGTTCATTCAGCGTGGCTCTCTGTGGCCGTTTGTAGCATGTGATTGTCTCGCTCATGTTCATTTAGCGTGGCTCTCTGTGGCCGTTTGTAGCATGTGATTGTCTCGCTCATGTTCATTTAGCGTGGCTCTCTGTGGCCGTTTGTAGCATGTGATTGTCTCGCTCAGGTTCATTCAGTGTGGCTCTCTGTGGCCGTTTGTAGCATGTGATTGTCTCGCTCAGGTTCATTTAGCGTGGCTCTCTGTGGCCGTTTGTAGCATGTGATTGTCTCGCTCAGGTTCATTCAGCGTGGCTCTCTGTGGCCGTTGGTAGCAGGTTACTGTCTCGCTCAGGTTCATTCAGCGTGGCTCTCTGTGGCCGTTGGTAGCAGGTTACTGTCCTGCTCAGGTTCATTCAGCCTAGCTCTCTGTGGCCGTTGTTAGCAGGTTACTGTCCTGCTCAGGTTCATTCAGCGTGGCTCTCTGTGGCCGTTGTTAGCAGGTTACTGTCCTGCTCAGGTTCATTCAGCCTAGCTCTCTCTGACCGTTGGTAGCAGGTTACTGTCTCGCTCAGGTTCATTCAGTGCGGCTCTCTGTGACCGTTGGTAGCAGGTTACTGTCTCGCTCAGGTTCATTCAGCGCGGCTCTTTGTGGCCGTTGGTAGCAGGTGACTGTCTCTGACTATCAAAGGTCCCTTTACACGCAAGTGGCACAACAGCCATATGAGCTTAGACTCATATTTCTATAGACCAAACGGCTCTCGGTGGGTGATGTGGACAACATTGTGCCAGCCGCCTCTACTTCCAGTACTTGACACCTGGGTCAAGCTGGGAGCCAAGGACATGCCACCCTCCCCCCCAACACACACACACACACACACACACACACAAAAACATCCTGCCACCATGCAGATTCAACCCAATTGACATTAGGACCCACAGGCGTGCGTCTAGCAGATATACCACATCGATTCCTTACACAACTGTCAGGTGTTATTTTGGTCTGTACCCACTTGGTTCCCATAACCTACTTTGTCCAACTGTTGTCGTGCCATGGAAGACTTAGAAGACATGAAACAACTGTTGTGTCTCCGCAGGCATGTAACCAAAGACACTACACGGCTGCTACACAGTGTCAGCAGTTGTGAAACACGAACCAGTCCAAGGAAACATTGATTAACCGTCGATGCGTAGCTGCTCATGAGGGAGTTATCAGATTGCGAAGAAGCCAAACTCCTCACTTGAAGAAGGCAGCTTTTGACAAAGCCTCAGTTACTGGCAGCCAGAAGCATCTATATCTCCGCTGTTCCCACAGTCAAGTGTATCTATTGTACTGACTGTCAAACATCTTGTGCAGAACATAATTTTAGTCTTGGGGACTTTTATCGCGCTGAGCATGGAGGCAGAACCGTGTCCAATATTCACAGAGGTTGTCAATTATTATGACAATCCTAGGAACTTCCGAGCTGTGCAGGTGAGGTCATGTGACATGTTATTGTGTGATACGAGGTGCAGGTGAGGTCATGTGACATGTTCTGGTAATCTGGTAATCTTAGTTTCAGCTTCATAGCAAACGGGTCGCCCTATAGCTGCTACGCTCCTGTGCCAAAGAAAAACACAGGTACAATTTGTTTATCACGAGGTCAGGTGAAATGTGACAGCTCACAGTATTACGCCATGTTACTTTCAGCTCAGAAGCGGGTCGCATATATGCTACGCTTCCAAAGTCTACAAATGGAGCACAAAATGCAACGGCCACCGTCTGACATGTACTCAACTCAGAAGGGGGCAACAACAACAAAAAAAAAATGGAAAAAAAAAAAAAAAGCAAAAAAAAAAAAAAAAAAAAAAAAGATTTGCTATTGCTACAAAAAGTGGCCGTGCCTAGCGTCCATTTTGACTTAAAACATTATTTGAGGGTTATTAAACAGTCACCCCAGCAGTACCCTCACTATGAGCTGAGGAAGGGGCTTAGGACATTACATCCACCAACAAGCATCGCCTCTATAACGACCTGACTGCCTTCGTCAAAGACTGTTCACCCAACAGCCATGCAGTTCTTTGGCACGAAGGAGACACCTGGAACTTGAGTTTCGGACTGCCGACTCCCTACAAGATGGTATGTTATTTCATGTTATCACAATCGACGACTCTGCACATTGGGCATTCCCATGCGTGCTCAGTTATCCGTTGCAGCAGCCACTCCAAAGTACTTCTACCAATTTTTCCCCATGAGAAGCTGGTTATATTGTCTCCTATCTCGGGTTCGAAGACAGCAAAGATGTGCTTCACCATGCTTTACTCACATGTCACGCAATCGTGTTAGTGTCAGGGATTCCTCATTAGCCACTAGCCCAGTCTGTACAGCGTTGACGATACCTGCTCTGTCCAACGTTTTCCCGCCATCCTTAGTGCAGTGCTTGCCAGTTGGTCCGCTCGCTCATTTCCCTTTACACCCGCATGAGCCGGTGTTTAGATCCAGGTTACGAAGGTTAAGTGCGATTTTCAAATGCTTTCTATCCATTCAGAGCGCATGCCGCCTGTTGCTATCTTCTGAAGCATATTCATGGAGTCTGATACAATAACTGCCTGTGTGGGAGTTTTCTCGGATCTTCTTCTTCTTCTTCACTTCAACTTTTACCGCTGTGGGTGTCGAGGGAGATATAAGGTTCTGTTTCTAGCTCTTCTGGCTGCCTCGACCATAGGCACATCGTGCTGCTGTAGAGTTTCTCTGATGTTATCTTTCCATATTGTTCTTGGTCTACCCCGTGCTCTACGTCCTTCTTCTCTTTCCATGTATGCTTTGTATGGTATGGTGTCACAAGGCATTCTCTCTAAGTGGGCAAACCATTTCACTTGCTGTCTTTGTATATAATCCAGAATTGGTTCTGTGCCGACTTGTTCTCTTATGATCTCATTCCTGATCTTATCTCTTATGGTCACTCCTACAGCCCTTCTCAGACATATCATTTCCGTGGTTACTAATTTTCTTTTAGGGTTTGTTGTGAGTGACCATGTCTGGCACTGGTAGCACAGAGTTGGAATAAATATGCTTTGAATAAGATGTCTCTTTGTGCTGATTGGGATTGTCTTATGCTGTAAGAGGGGGGCTAGCTGTCCCAATACTTGGTTTGCTTTACTGCATCTAATGTCAATTTCTTTATCCAATTTCCCATCTTCGGTAAATGTAGTTCCCAGATATTTAAACTCAGATGCCTGTTTAATGCCTTTGTATTCTATTGCTATGTTTAGATCTGTCTTCTTTTTTCCTATTGACATTACTTCTGTCTTTTCAGTGTTGATTCTCTTATTATTTGTTTTACATTCTTCATTCATGGATGTTAGATGTTGTTGCAATTTCATGGCAGTATCTGCTATCAAGGCCTGGTCATCTGCAAAGAGTAATTCGTTGATCTTACTAAGATCTTCATTCATGATCTTGGCATTCTTGCATATACTGTCGATGTAGGTGATAAACAGCAGTGGTGATAAGACACATCCCTGTCTTACTCCAGATGTCACTGTGAAAGGATGAGATTTTCCCTGATTTATTCTAATTACACTTCTACAATTCCTGTATAAACTTTTGCACACTTCGATGAGGTGTTCGCTTATTCCATATCTTGCCATTATTTTCCATAGTAATTGTCTGTCGACTCTGTCAAATGCCTTCTCCTGGTCTACGAATGCAACAAATAAGTTCTTATTGTATTCAATGTTCTTTTCTATTAACTGTTTAAGTGTGAAGATTGCATCTGTGCAGCTTCTATTTCTCCTAAATCCCATCTGTTCTTCTGCCAGCTGTGGTTCTATCACTGGTCTAAGTCTTGTTTCTTTGATCTTGGCATACATTTTGCCAACATGGCTTAAAAGAGAGATGCCTCGATATTGACCGCATTCTCGTTTGCTTCCTTTGTTCTTCCACAATGGTATAACTATTGCTTGTTGCCAATCAATAGGGGCCGTTTGTTGTACCCATGCTGCATTGAATATTCTGTGAAGCCATCTGATGCTGATTTCACCTGCTGCTTGAATTATTTCTGTTGGTAATCTATCAGCTCCTGGTGCTTTATATTTGGGAGACTGTTTAATGACTTTTTCTATTTCATCCATTAGTATGTGTGGTTCTAGCACTGTTGCTCTGTGCTCTTCAGTTATTCTTTCCCGATGATCTCCTAGAGGATTAAAGAGCTCATTGAAGTATTCCCTCCATCTTTCTGCTATCTCGGATGGATCTATCAATGGCCTTCCTGTCTTATCATTAATTATTTCAGTGGGGTTGTAGCTCTCATCCCTTTTCCGCATATTTTTAACTACTTTGAAAAATTTTCTGCTGGCTGTTTTCTCATTTTCTGCTAGTGACTCACCGAAACGTTCCCAGGATGCTTGTTTTGCTTTCTTGACACTCCTGTTGGTTTCTCTCCTTTGCAGTCTATAGTTTATATAATCTTCTTCTTTCTTTGATTTTATCCACTGTTTATATAAGTCTTTTTTCTTTTTAATTGCTTCTTTTACTTCTTCGCACCACCAAGGTGAATATTTGTTATTTCCCCGTCTGTTTCCACTCTTCCGTTTTCCACATAATTCTTCTGCAATACTAAGCATAGTGTTTTTATATTTACTCCATTCTTCCTGAATATTGCCAACTACATGTGGAAGTTGTTTGGATGCTGTCTCTAATTTCTGTTGTAACTGTTCTTTTTCTCCTTCCTGTTTCAGATTTGCTATCTTGATGAGATCCTTGTTTTTGTTTATTTTCTTTCTGTATTTCTTTAATGTAAGATGTTTTGCTGTTAACACAACTATTTTATGTTCAGTGTCACATAGACCATTAGGGATTGCTCTTGAATCAAGAATTCTCCTTCTTCCTTGAACTCTGGTAAGTATAAAGTCAATCTGGCTCTTGATGGAGACATCACTCCATTTGTACCAAGTGTAAAGTTGTGAATCTCTATGGTCAAAGAATGTGTCCGTAATAAAAAGATTGTGCTGGCTGCATAGATCCAATATTCTTTGACCATTTCCATTCCTATCACTGTTCTTAGCTGCATGTGGACCTAGAAACTGTTCGTATTTTCTTCTATTATTTCCTACCCTCCCGTTGAAGTCACCCATTACATATAGTATGCTGCTTCCCTCAACTTTCTTTATCTCATCAGACAGATCGACAAAGAATTCATCTTTCTGCTCTTCTGTATAATTATCATTGCATGGTGCATATATCTGTATATATGTTTCAGCTTGTTCTCCTCTTTTAATTTTCAAAGTAATAATTCTATCTGAGTGATAATGTATGACTAATATGTAGTTAGATATATCCGGATGTACCAGGAAACCCACTCCATTCTTCGATGTTTCTCCTCCTGCATATGTTAGTAAGTAGCCTCTGTGTATTTTCTTATTAATATTTCCCTTGCGTCTTATGTCAGCTAGCCCCATTAACTTGATTTTCATTTTTTCCATCATTTCAATAATCTCTTCTGTTTTATTTCCCAGGCCAGCGGTGTTAAGTGTTGCAATCTTGTATTTCGCTGTTCTGTCTCGTAGTCCCTTAACATTGCCATGGTCAGATACCGTTTGATCAGTCCGTTTATATCTCATTTTGATTTCTGTAGCGGTAATAAATCCATTGCCGGCTTGCTAGGCCTGTCGCAACTTCACCAGAGCTCCGTTGGCCAGGACGTTTCGGGGTGACCCAGGGTGGCCTTCATGGCTACCGTAGCGGTCCCGTGGCACGAGGCCACACCATACTTCGCCCACACCTAGCAATCCCCTACTTTGTCCTGTTACCACCTCTCACGACGAGGACGTGGGGTTGGTCTTTGAGAGGCCATGCTAAAGCTCTAGAAGCAGCGCCTATTTTCATGGTCATGCTTGACGTGGTTGTCTGGTAAGCGCTGCTTTCCTCATGTATTGTTTTCCCCCCTCCTTTGCGCTGTGTAAGCCCATGCTGACCATGATCCGCGCTTCACGGATTCATCTGTGAAGATGATGATATCTTCTGGGTCTATCAGTTCTCCTACTTCTATGTCTACGGCCGCAGGAATCTGATCCCGGCAGTACCTTCTGAGTGTGATGACAACCTTAGAGATGCCATGCATGTCTACTGGTGTATTCGTCCATTCTTTTCCGTGGCTGATCACGTCTAGGTCACATACCTGCTGGATTAAATCCTAGCCTTTCCTATTCAAGAGCGGCCTCTTTTGAGACGAGTTTCTTTTTTTTTCGTGTATAGCTTTGTGTAATAGGTGGTTAACGTCTGCCGATACCCTCATGTAAGCCTTGATTTGTGCCACTTTGTATCTGCTTGTCATCGTCGGCAAACCCAGGACATAACGCATGGCGTTGCAGGAGGTGTCTTTTGTGCAGCCGAGTATGAGTCTCATGGCCTCATTTTGTACTCGGTCCTGTCTTTCTAGCTGTGTTTTGCTGACAACGAGGAGGCCAAGACCATAGTCAATGACGCTTAGCACAAGCCCTTGATAGAGAAGAAAAAGGAGGCGTTGTTTAATATCAGCTGCTGCTAACACCTAGAGTGCTGTCAGACCTTTCCTAGCTCTAAGTATGACGTTATCTACGTGGCACTTGTATGTATTACGAGCATCTGTCAAATGTCATACCCAGGTATTTCATGGTGTCCGTTCTCTCAATGTCCACACCACAGATGCTTACAATTGGCATTGGTGTACTAACGATGTGAGTATTCAGAGAGAACTATGTTAAGGAGGCTTTGTGACATGTTTTTGTGTGATACGAGGTGCAGGTGAGGTCATGTGACATGTTATTGTGGGATACGAGGTGCAGGTGAGGCTATGTGACATGTCATTGTGTGATACGAGGTGCAGGTGAGGTCATGTGATATGTTATTGTGGGATACGAGGTGCAGGTGAGGTCATGTGATATGTTATTGTGGGATACGAGGTGCAGGTAACGTGGTATAAAAGTAATGATGTGTGATAAGAGGTGAAGAGAAGGTGAAGTGAAGCAATGCTGTGTCATGAGAGGTGCAGGTAAGATAGTGTGAAGTAATGCTGTGTCATGAGAGGTGCAGGTGAGATAGCATGAAGCAATGCAGAGCCATGAGAGGTGCAGGTGAGATAGCATGAAGTAATGATGTGTCAGAGGTACAGATATGGTAACGTGTGGTAATGCTGTGATTATAGGTACGGATAAGGTAGCGTGTGGTAATGATTAGATAGAAGGTGCAAATTACGTAGTCTAAAGTAATGATTTGATAAGAGGTGCAGATTACGTAGTCTAAAGTAATGATTCTAAAAGCGGTGCAGATTACGTAGTCTAAAGTAACGATTCGATAAGAGGTGCAGATTACGTAGTCTAAAGTAACGATTCTATAAGAGGTGCAGATTACGTAGTCTAAAGCAACGATTCGATATGAGGTGTAGATAACGTATTCTAAAGTAATGAGTTAATAAGAGGTGCAGTTTATGTAGGGTAAAGTAATGATTCGATAAGAAGTGCAGATTACCTAGTCTAAAGTAATGATTTGACAAGAGGTGCAGATTACGTAGTCTAAAGTAACGATTCGATATGAGGTGTAGATAACGTATTCTAAAGTAATGAGTTAATAAGAGGTGCAGTTTATGTAGGGTAAAGTAATGATTCGATAAGAAGTGCAGATTACCTAGTCTAAAGTAATGATTTGTCAAGAGGTGCAGATTACGTAGTCTAAAGTAATGATTCTAAAAGAGGTGCAGATTACGTAGACTAAAGTAACGATTCGATAAATGGTGCAGATTACGTAGTCTAAAGTAACGATTCGATAAGAGGTGCAGATTACGTAGTCTAAAGTAATGATTCAACGAGAGGTGCAGATTACGTAGTCTAAAGTAATGATTCTAAAAGAGGTGCAGATTACGTGGTCTAAAGTAATGATTCAAAAAGCGGTGCAGATTACGTAGTCTAAAGTAATGATTCGATAAGAGGTGCAGATTACGTAGTCTAAAGTAATGATTCGATAAGAAATGCAGATTACATTGTCTAAAGTAATGATTCGATAAGAGGTGCAGATTACGTATTCTAAAGTAATGATTCGATAAGAAGTGCAGATTACGTAGTCTAAAGTAATGATTCGACCAGAGATGCAGATTACGTATTCTAAAGTACTGATTTGATAAGAAGTGCAGATTACGAAGTCTGAAGTTGTAATCTGATAAAAGATTCAGATTACACAGGCAACTATCCAGTCAGTTATTCAACTGATCAATCAACACAACACTGTTATACAAACAGATAAAATAAACTAAAGGACATACTAATGTGCCATCGAACTAAGCAGCATCATTATTGTAGATCCATTATGTGTCTCATTTAATGAATTGCCGCTGTATGTTGTACTAGCGTCTGTCTGCATCATTCTTAGAGTTACTAGCAATTTCAGTTAGTGTGGAGATTGATGACATCCATTTGTCGTCGTGGACTGCAAAAATGGCTGGGCACACAAGCAGCTATGCGAAACGGATAAATCACGATAGCATAAGAGTAAGTGTTTATCGGTCAAGGCATTCGGTCTTATTAGTAATGTGTTTTTCTGTGTGTGTATATTACATTATCGGTGCCGGTAAATTGTCGCTATTGCTGCTTGGGGGGAAATACCTTTAAGTGATGACATGGGGGGAAAATACCTTTGAGTGATGAAACGGGAGAATCCTGGAGGGCGGACATGGTTGGAGATCAAACAGAACTTGCAGGAGACTAAGGAAGAGGAGGGAGAGAAAAAATGGAGACCAAAATAAACTTACAATCATACAATTGGACCCAATTTATGGATGTGAAGTTAATAAAAAACACACGAGGAAGGTGGCATTCGATTTAATCAATTTCCATAATTAGACACACAAAATGCAAACAATAGACTTCCATAACCGGTTGCCATTAAAGCTCCGACAGGCCGCCATGAGGGTTCCGACAGGCCGCCATTAGGGCTCCGACAGGCCGCCATTAGGACTCCAACAGGCCGCTATTAGGGCTCTAATAGGTCTCCATTAGGGCTCCATGCACAATATTGAATCTCCACACAGAAGAGTATATTTCAGGTATTTATTGTTTCTCCAGCCGCTTCCTTTCAACGTGAACCTGCAGCACCTGAGCTGGGAGATGCTGGAAGCAACCCGTTTGAGGCGGCTGGGGATTCCCGTGCGCTTCTCCAGACACTGCAACATTATCTACAACAGTCAGGTGGCTGTGGAAAACGCCGTGAGTATGACGTGTTTCCAGTGTGTTAATACCTTGACTTATGCGTGTGTCGCAATATTTTAAAACCCTACCCATAAAAGGATATATAATTCACTGTGGATTTGATTTGATTTGATTCAAGAACTGACATCACAGAACTCGGGGCATTCCCATTAGCGCTCCGTCCCCATCTTTAGCAACCAGTGAAGAGTTCCGATGCTAATGGTGCCAGTAGCATTCTGATTAAATGTCCGTCTTGCCTTTCCCCTGAGCCCCGAGCATCTGCCAGAACCTCTCGTCACTCCCCTCTGCATAAATCTTACCAGACTGGTGATCCGTCTGCTCCTCCAAACTGTACACGCTCTCCCACAAGGCACTAACCACGTCTGCCTTATCATGCATCAGTATTCCACCAAGACAGTCTATCCCACTGTTTATTTCCCAACACACCGGCACACCCTGGTGAAAAAACTAGAAAATACTCCTCACTCGCGCCTTCCGCAGCGAGGCATGCCACTCTGCACGAAGCATGCCTGTCCTGATCTTCCTCAGCATGTTTTTTGAATCAGTTACAATCACAATGTGTGTGTCGTGTTCTCTAGCCAGCGGAAAGCCGCAGTGACCGCCTCCACCTCCATTCTTAAGCTGGATGTTGTGGTATCATATGCTAGGCTCTCCTGCCACAAATGTCGATCATTAACTTTTGCTAAGAAGCCCCAAGCACTTCTTTTGCCTCTTGACACTGAGCCGTCTGTGTAAATGATCAAATCTTCTGAGCGAGCATAATTTTGAATTAATTGCTGAATTTCCACCTCTGTGGCACCTGCTTGCCAGTCTCTGCATTCCCGGCTCAGCGTGATTATGACCCTACACAAGTCTGACTGTTCAGGTGGCAATTTGACCCACTCCTCTTCTCGCCTAATGTTCTCAAGGATGCAAACCTGTCTGATTGTGTCCTTTGCCTGAGCCATCCATTACTTCCCTCTTATCAGCCGCTGACCCTTCACTGCACCCAGATCTTCATGCAGAGGTTGGTCTGTGTCTGCAGCTACCCTGAGATATGACTTCGCCTGCAGCACCTTGTGCCTACATGCAACCGTCGGCAAACCAAGGATGTATCGCATACACACCACTGGGGTGTCCCTGGTGCAACCCAGAATAACCCGCATTGCTGCGTTCTGTATGCGCTCTAGTTTGTCCATCTCTCTCTTTGAGACGGCAAGCATTCCCAGGCCATAATCCACCACTGACAGGATCAGGTGCTGATATAGTGTGAAAAGCATTCTCTGCTCTATGTCAATTGCAGCCATAGTCTTAAGTGCACTAAGTCCTTTTAGGCATCTCGTCACAACACTCTCCACATGGTCCTTAAATGACAGGCTCCTGTCAAATGTAATTCCTAGATACTTCAATTTGCTCTCTCTGTTGACGTCTCTACCATCTATCGTGAGACTTGGGACATTAGCTTTAACGATCCTGTTGTCCAGAGAACACCACAAAACAGACCCCTTTTCCGGGTGGACGACAGCCCCCATTTCTGTACACCACTCAGTCACTTTGTCCACTGTCGCTTGTAGCTCTTGGGCTGTTTGTTCCCCCTCTTTCCCCTGCCTCTATGCAAGTATATCATCCGCAAAAGTCAGCATACTTCCAACTCCTGGTGCTTCTAGGCTTGCAATCTTGCTCGTATACATGTTAAAGAGCACATTTTAAAGAGATAGCGGATCTATGTGGCAGTCCTAGAGCCAAACTGTATGGTTATGAGGTCCATGAGCCCAGTGGAAGAGCAACCCGATGTAAATACAGGACAGCTGCAACCCAATTCACCAGCCATGGACTGACCTGCCTTCTCCTTCAGCGCAGTCATTAGGATGTAGTATCTTACATTATCTAGTTTAACATAGGGCAAGGGGTGGGAAAAGGGGGGGGGGGGGGGGGGAATCAGTTTTATTGTTGAAGACAGCTTATTTTAAACACCAGCCTACGACTTTACGTGACTACAAATAGAATGAAAAGCGATACCAGCCTACCGTCATGATACTTTCTCGTGTCTGGGGGGGGGGGGGGGGGGGGGGGGGGGGGGGGGTGAGGGTGGGGGAGCCTGTCTGGTGTGCCGGGGAATTGAACCACTGCCTTCTATCAAGCATATCACGAAAAGCGGCTAATTAGGAGTTTTCTTAAATCTGATGTATTGGGCCGAACGGGGCAGATATGGCAGCTTAACTGTTAACCATCACAAAACATACCAACGCAGAAGAAGACGAAGAAGAGTAAGAAGGAGAAGAAGAAGAGGACGAAGAAGAAGATGATAAAGAAGAAGAAGAAGAAGAAGAAGAAGAAGAAGAAGAAGAAGAAGAAGAAGAAGAAGAAGAAGAAGAAGAAGAAGAAGAAGAAGAAGAAGAAGAAGAAGAAGAAGAAGAAGAAGAAGAAAAAGAAGAAGAAGAAAAAGGAAAAGAAAAGAAAGAGGAGAAGAAGAAGAAGAAGAAAAAAGAAAAGAAAAGAAGGAGAAGAAGAAGAAGAAGAAGAAGAAGAAGAAGAAGAAGAAGAAGAAGAAGAAGAAGAAGAAGAAGAAGAAGAAGAAGAAGAAGAAGAAGAAGAAGAAGAAGAAAAAGAAGAAGAAGAAGAAGAAGAAAAAGGTCATTTTCTGGAACCTTCAGAGCAAACGAAAACAAAATGTAAAAAAATGTGGAAAAGAACAAAAGACGTGGCTGCCTAAAATGGACAGACAAGGAGCAACTGCAGGTTAGAAGAACATGGCGTGGGTTTTCTGAAGATACACTTAATGGTGTGATTAACGACAAATGCAGACGATCCGTCAATTAGATATAGTGCATCAAAACACACACAGTCCATACATGCAGAGATTGATTTAGCAGGAGGTGATCACAAGATCTGGCCAACTTTTCAACCATGTTGTAGCTTCATTATATGTAAGCGAAACTCGTTTGGCGACCGAGCTGTGTTGAAGTTTGCGGAGTAGACTGACGTCAATTGTTTCTTCACTCAATCAGTGATTCAATTATCATGCTCAGTTGCACGGGCAAGGTCACGGGGAAGCATGATGGACTGCGGGTCACGCAATTAATGAACTGAAAGAAGAACCGATTTCCCAGCACTAAGGACAATTACATAAGCGCGCAGTTTTGCATCTAGGGGCGCTGACACAAGTATGCATATTGGACCCTCAGCACTCTTACTGAATTTCTAGTGGGGAGGGGTGCCTCAAGAGACCTAAGACTAGTTAGGTAATATTTTAATAATAATATCAATAGTGATAATAACAATAATATGAAGAATGGCTAAGCTACAAAAATCTGCTCAATGACAGAAAACCTACAGCTCCTTCAGAACCTCCATGCCAGAGTCTAGAAAACGGCACCACGCTGCTCAAACGATTACTGGATCACACTCAGTCAGCAGAATCAATCGGCAGCCAATACTGAGAACGTTAGAGCTATGTATAATAGCAACTAAGAAGACTATTGGACCAGTCAACAGAAAAGTAGCTGTCCTCAAATCAGTCACTGGCTAGGGCACAAAGGAACGCGCAAAGCAACTGGAACGTTGTGGAGCAAAACTCAGAACTCTGCTAAATAAGCACCCATGCGAGTGATGAGGCTCTTAATGCAGCTGAGTGTCTGCCCACCACGAAAGAACTAGAATTGAGCCTGCAGTCACATAAATCAGCGAAGCATTGGATGGGCTTCCCTCAGGCAATGATGGCATCCCGCCCGAGATTCTGAAATGCTCAAAGCAAGCTATTCTTCCAGAAGATTCCCTGCCAATGCTGGCAAGAAAACTCGGTACCCCAAGATCTGAGAGATGCCAACATTATATCACTCTACACAAACAAGTATGACAAAAGCGATTGAAATAACAAGCGCGACATCTCTGTTAAACTATGCTGGTAAAGTCTTTGCTCGTGTCATACTGAAGAGACTGCAGGTTCTAGCAGACCGTATGTATTCAGAATCACAGTGTGAGTTTAGAGCTCAGAGGTAAACAATAGATATGATATATCAGGCGGCAACAAGACAAGTACAGGAAGCACCATAAGCCATTGTTCATTGTCTTCATATATTCCAACAAGATTTTTGATTATTTTAGCAGAGATAACCTGTTCAGGATCCCTGCTAAATACGCTTGCCCACCCAAACTAATGCGCCTCGTGGAATCTTTCCGTGAGAATATGAAAGAAACAATCAAATATGGGACCGTCATTAATTCATGATTCCTAATGGTGTAAAGCAGGATTGCGTTCTAGCTCTCAGTTTGGCATTTCTTCACTGCTTTGCTTTTGGGACAACCACTGAAAGGGATATATCTCCGTACGAGGCTAGATCGCAACCATTTAAATCTGTCCAGGCTTCGTGCAAGGACTAAGGTGCAGACAAGATGTCTCAGGGACTTTCTGTTTGCGGATGATGCAGCCATAACTGCACATACTAAAAATGATCAGTAGATTCTCATGCATCACTTTGCAAATACATGTAACGAATTTCGAATGACTTATCAGTGTCAGCAAAACGCAAGTGATGTTGATAAATGTGGTAAACGCACCAAGCATTTTCGTTTATGACCTTGAGCTGTTGGCTGTACATGAGTTTGATTACCTAGATTCTCCAGTCGCAGAAATCTTTGCGTAGATGCAGAACTAAACAGACGAACGAGAAACGCTTCTGCAGTACTTCCCAAACTCTCAACAATAGTGTGGTCAAACGAAATACTTACGGTTAGGACCAAAATTAAGAGTTAATGAAGCTTGCGTCCCGAGCATGTTCCTTTACGACAGTGAAACCTGGACTCTGTGCTCCTCAAGAAGAAAGACCTCATACCTCCTACATGCGCTGTATGAGACCCAGCTTGGTATATCAAGGCGATACTTGGTCCCCAGTAAGTGTGTACTCAGACGAGCAGGCACGCCAACAGTGCACTTTGTATTGATGCAAAAACGTCTGCGTTAGTTGGAACATGTCTCTCGCATGGAGATAGTCTCATTCCAAAGGAATTCCTATGGTGAGATGGTGACAGAGATAAGACTTGCAGGAAGGTCGATGCTACGACATAAAAAGGACATATGCAAACTTGAGCTGAAACAAATATAATAAAATACTTGATACAATATCGTATGTATTAAAAATAACCATATACAGGTAACTATAATTTGAAGGGGTGGGTCAAACTTATCCTCTCACAAGTTTAGAGAGAGTTGTGTGCGTGTGTGTATGTAAAGGGGGGGGGGGGTCTTAAAATTGTGTGTGGAAAAAGGGGTTGTGGGCAGGAAAGGGGGGGGGGGGTGAAGTAGGGAGAGCCTCAAGTACCTTTGTCCTTAGACTGCGATGTCACTCGTCACGCCCCACCCCGCATTCATCATTCTGTCCAGGCCGCCGTTAGCCTTTCATTGTTGACCTAATACGACAGGACCAGGTCACTATCAGTAGGCTCAAAATCGACCAAACAGTCTGCACGTTCGTTTTCCCACGTACAGTTCCGTGTACGTTCGAAAAAATATACTGTCTAAAAGACAACCATAATAACACAAGTAATCAAACACACACACACACACACACTCACGCATGTGCATACATTTGCATAAACTGGCTACGTTATAAAGGTATTTCATTAACATATTAGTAAGACAAGTAAATGCAGACGCTATAGCAGAGCACACACATTAAAGAGATTGGCCTGGTTCAGTGCCCAGCAGTATCTCACGGAGGTGATAATATTGTCACCGATTTTTTATTCAGTTGACTAGAAAGGGTCGGCTCTGTGGCTAAGTCGATGCGAACGCTTTGTAATGCCGGGGTGCCGGGTTCGATCCCAGCTGCGGGTCATGCGCCTTGCGTTGGTTTCGACAGTGATATCTGGGGGCCGACCATCCAGTAAGCAATATACGGACATTTGCCTAGAGAAGCCACACACCAGCCACGGGCTGCTGGGGGTTGGTTCTGCAACGTCCTGTAAAGGATACACAACTAACCTAACTAGAAAGGAAAATTTGCGATAATAGACACTGGTTTAGGGTCACCCGTCGACTAATGCCACGTCGCAGAAAATGTCAAGCCAGATGTTCAAACCGAACAGCGGTATTTGCAGCAGCAGGACTGTCTTCACCTCGCACGAATTCGCTGAAGGTTGACTAGAACTAAGAAAGTTCAAAGAGTGAGGAAAGTCCAGCACGGATACAAATGAACGCTCCAGTTAATCTTTACCAGGGCATGGGGAACCGTCGTGGTGTAGCGGCTGGAAACTCGCTTGCTGATCCAAAGCTCGTGGGTTCAGATCCATTCCAGTCTGAAATGGGCACCAGGTACAGTCTTGGGAAGTAAAGACGGTCCGGTGTGATGTTGACCACATCATCTAAGAAGTACCGACTGGTCTATACAATATAGGTCTAACCCTATATTCCCAATACGCCTGAAGACTTGGAAAAGGGTCCTTTACTTTTAACCAGGACATACAGGTTCTATAGCACAAGCGATCTCTGGGCTGTGATCGACTCTGCTTTTTTTCGTAGCTTTTAAAGAGATGCGATCTTCTTGTCGTCGCAGGCAAACAGCGCTCAGCAAACAACAGCGACGCCATGTGCCAGTATGTCCTTGAAGAAAACGAAAAGATTCAGCAGCAACTCACTGTCGCCATTTTTCACCTACGAGAAGAAAACGTGTGGCTACTTCTTCTCACGTGACACTGACAACCGGAAGAGCAATTTCGGCATTCCTGCCAGCGATGTGTCGGCCTGGAGACACACTGCACTGGAAAATCTGTGTCACCTTCGCTAACGGAGCACAGGAGACGTACTTTGGTGACTTGTACAGCCTAACGCAGTACTGAATGCATGTGCTTTGGTATAGGGTGTAATTGCTACCGGCATGTGTAGGAAAATACATAAATAAAGAATACCGTGCGCAGATGTGTTTTCTTTCTTAGAGTTACTATGAGTATGCGGTTTTGTGATAAATTTTTTTCGCCTAATTATGAGAAGCAAACAATGCATCACTTTGTTCCAACTGTGATGATACAATTTAAATCGTCGTCCCCTTGTGGAACGCAGTTTTTTTTTAATGTTACGGTTCACGTAGATCTCCACAAACATAGCAAATCACTTCTGATACACAAGTTTGTTGGGCTGGTCGATTTTCCTGAAGGTTACGGGTGTGTCCCGCTCTGTTGTTTGCTTTCTGTGTTGTCTTGCATTTACGTTTTCATTCCAAGAAAGAGAATGGTTGTGACAAATGTTGCTGCATTCTTTAGAGAAGTGTGCAAAAGTTTATACAGGGATTGTAGAAGTGTAGTAAGAATAAATCAGGGAACATCTCATCCATTCACAGTGACATCTGGAGTAAGACAGGGGTGTGTCTTATCACCACTGCTGTTTATCACCTACATCGACAGTATATGCAAGAATGCCAAGCCCATGAATGAAAATGTTAGTAAGATCAACGAATTACTCTTTGCAGATGACCAGGCCTTGATAGCAGATACAGCCATGAAATTGCAACATCTAACATCCATGAATGAAGAATGTAAAACAAATAATATGAGAATCAACACTGAAAAGACAGAAGTAATGTCAATAGGAAAAAAGAAGACAGATCTAAACATAGCAATAGAGTGCAAAGGCATTAAACAGGCATCTGAGTTTAAATATCTGGGAACTACATTTACCGAAGATGGAAAATTGGATAAAGAAATTAACATTAGATGCAGTAAAGCAAACCAAGTATTGGGACAGCTAGCACCCCTCTTACAGTATAAGACAATCCCAATCAGCACAAAGAGACATCCTATTCAAAGCATATTTATTCCAACTCTGTGCTACCAGTGCCAGACATGGTCACTCACAACAAACCATAACAGAAAATTAGTAACCACGGAAATGAGATGTCTGAGAAGGGCTGTAGGAGTGACCATAAGAGATAAGATCAGGAATGAGATTATAAGAGAAAAAGTCGGCACAGAACCAATTCTGGATTCTATACAAAGACAGCAAGTGAAATGGTTTGCCCACTTAGAGAAAATGCCTTGTGACACCATACCATACAAAGCATACATGGAAAGAGAAGAAGGACGTAGAGCACGAGGTAGACCAAGAACAAGATGGAAGGATAACATCAGAGAAACTCTACAACAGCATGATGTGCCTATGGTCGAGGCGGCTGTCGTGGAACAGGTTCCTTTTACACTCACTAAAGTGGTGTTATCTTGTTAGAAACCGAGACAACTGTCTTTTGGTGCAAAGAGCAGACAGTGTCCCTGGATACTCAGATACAAACTCGAATTGGCTCGCTAAAGAAAGTGAGCTGCCTGAATATCCCCAAAAAAGGGATAAGGGAATTTAGATGCCTAAACACAGAGCAGATTACCCCTCCCGACAATTTAACTTTCTGGTACTTAAATTAAGCCCCCATCTAGAATATGTATATTGGTAGACAGCACTGACACCATACATACATCTAGAAATAAAATTAAACTTTAACTATGAATTTAAATCAATCATAGGAATGTTTATTAAAATTAAAGTAAAAGTCAATCATCTATTTACTTTTGCAAAAATAATATTCGAACTAAGTAGGATGAAAGATAAAAATGATAGTAACATGAAACTGTCGTTGTGAGAGGATCAGTGGGAAATAACATACAACAATTACCACCTAGAGTTTCCCAGAGGATCATCCGTTTCAGCGAATGAGGTGGAACGTTGGATCTGTCTCAAGCCCCAAGATCTTTCTTAGGGCACTTCAATCATTAGCTACGACCAGCCTGGCAGTGGTTTGGAAGCTCGTCCTGCCACAAGGAACAAGGAATCTGTCCTCGGCTTTTCAGCAGCTGGATTTAGATGTAACTATATGGTCATTTTGCTAGGGTTTTTAGGCGGCAGGAAAGACAAAGTTCTTCCAAAACGGCCCGCTCTAACTCCTGCTAGCTGACCTGAAGTCGAATGGCTGGCAATCTGGTCTCACCGCGGGATTTCCGGTGTTGGTGGCCAGGGTTTTTCCGCTACGTTGCCGAGTTTGCTAGCTGTATATTTTTATACGTCAAAGCTCAGGGGAATTACAAATAAAGCAATGAAAAATCCCTAAACAGCAACCGTAAGCTATAACCGGGATATTTCTCAATGTCGTCTATGACGAAAATGACGTCACTGGGCGTATGTAAAAGAGAAAATAGAAGAGTCACAAAGGTGTGGTACGTCAGCCAAAAGTATCTTGTCTACTTGAAGCGGCGTCTCGCGACAGCGGCCAGAAGAGCTAGAAACAGAACCTTATATCTCCCTCGACACCCACAGCGGTAAAAGAGGAAGTGAAGAAGAAGAAGAAGAAGAAGAAGAAGATTCTTTAGAGAGGTTGTGTTGGGGTTAGTGCTGCATGTTTTTGGAGCCTTATGCGCGCTGACGTCCTGAAAAATACTGGCTTAGGAGGTTCAACTGAATCTGCCGCACCTAAATCCAAACTTCACAAATAAACTGACCTCTTTGAACAAAAGGCACAAACCACTCCTAGTGAACGATACAAACAAGCTCTCAGCAGCAGACAGAATTATGTAACATCTAACTACACACGTGGTCGCCGTTCAAACCCAGGATAAACTATGAATCACATTGATAACTAGACCTGAACTAACTAAAACTCCCTGGTGAATTAAATTGTGTAAAACACACGTTTAAAGTCTGTGAACAAGACGCCAGCATCAACAAAGACAGGACAACTGACCACTGCCAGCCAAGACACACGTCAGAGAAAGAGAGAGAAAGAGAGAGAGAGAGAGAGAGAGAGAAGAGAGAGAGAGAAGAGAGAGAGAGAGATAGCACAGCAATTTCCAATTCCAATTGTCCAACAACAGTTCCAAACTTGATCCTTTTCAGCCGCCCGGAGGCCTGCTATATGAAGGAAGGTCCCTTGGCTATCTTATTTGGTTTCCTATTCTTTGTGGTATGAAGTCACACCTGATATCCCTGTTCTTTTGTCTTCCCCAGTCCGGTGTGTTTTTGGGGGTTTTGGGTCTGGTCTGGTCCAGTTCAATTAATATCAGTATCTGTGGGTTTTAGCCTCGTGCTGATCGCTGCGCTGGTGTCCTATTGCCTGCTTGGTTGCCGTTCTGTAAAGCCGCTGGAAAATGCACAGCAAAGTACATGCTCTTTTATAAACTATGTGGACCTCCAGCTGACCAGATTTTTGTCCGTGAGTCCAAAGAAATTAACAAAATCATCAAAGATTGTTGGCACTCTGCCACGTTAGTGTGAACAGAGAAGAGGAAGAAGAAAAAGAAAGAGGGGAAGAAAAAAAAAATTGGAAGAAGACGAAGACGGAAAAAAAGAAAGAAAAAATAAGAAAGAAAGAAGGATACAAAGAAAGAAAAGGAAGAGGACGAGAGGGAGAAGAATAAGAAGAGAAGGAAGAAACATTTTCATGCCTGGACGGCAGAAACTCTCAGACACTTGGGAGCATTCCAATGTAACAAATATGTGTACTATATTGTCTTTAGTGCAGCTGTTATGACAGAGTTAGTTTGAGAAGCGATCTTTTAAATTACTCTCCTCTACTAAAAAAGGCTGCACTAGTTTGTAAACAACATTCTGGTCTGATCACTGGGCAAACCGACGATACAATTGTACACGTCCAACACTGTAGTGCCATAATCATGCTACTGAATTAGGTTTGGGATGGGGTACTTTAGCGCCGGTCAAACAAGGGAATGCCAGAGACCAGCAAAAGTACACGCACACTGAATCACGTGCTTTCACCAACAACCACGTGCCGACACCGTTTATCCAGGATTCCTGGTGCTTCAAGAAGATTCAGAGTTTTCCAATCTAAGGATACACATTATTAGAATCACGTGAAAGCGCAGAGAGAGAGAGAGAGAGAGAGAAGAGAGAGAGAGAGAGAGAGAGAGAGAGAGAGAGAGTGTGAGAGAGAGTGAGAGAGAGAGAGAACAAACGAGCAAACCAACCTTATTTTCAAAGGTTTACAAATTAGGCACGCAGGCCTGTCCTACATTCGGCCCTTCCAAACACCCATCTTTCCCACTCAGCAGTTGTATTTTATCAATAAAGCATGCTATATTCATGTAATAATGTACATATTATTATCAAGTCAAAAACAAAAGCATGGGTGGTAAAACACAACACAACCCACACACACGCAAACCTATTCTCTCACTTACACACATACATAGGCACTCAATTTACACATACATACACACATACATACACACATATACATACCTACCTACCTACCTACCTACCTACTTACCTACCTACCTACCTACCTACCTACCTACCTACCTACCTACCTACCTACAGACAGACAGACAGACAGACAGACAGACAGACAGACAGACAGACAGACAGACAGACAGACAGACAGACAGACAGACATACATACATACATACATACATACATACATACATACATACATACATACATACATACATACATACATACATACATACATACATACATACATACATACATACATACATACATACATACATACTTACATACATACATACATACATACATACATACATACGCAAGTCACCCTAACAAGACACACTCTCACAAACGCACACTGTAAGACACAAACACACGAAGCAAGAGAGAGAGAGAGAGAGAGAGAGATAGATAGATAGATAGATAGATAGATAGATAGATAGATAGATAGATAGATAGATAGATAGATAGATAGATAGATAGATAGATAGATAGATAGATAGATAGATAGATAGATGGATAGATAGATAGATAGATAGATAGATAGATAGATAGATAGATAGATA